GGTGCAATGTGGTCTAGTGGAGGGTGGCCCATGGCAGGGGGGATTGGAACTAGGTGATCTTTAAGGTCCCTTCCAACCCAAATCATTCTGTGATTCTGATTAACTTGTTGGTTTCTAGGAACTTGTTTGGCCTATTTAATTAAAAAAATTAAAGGGTAGGAGTGTTCTAAAAACTCCCCTTTAGATTTCTAATCATGCTGAAAGTCTGCCGGTATAGAGCTTGTTCTTAAATCATAAATCACCATGTAGAATCATAGAATCATTTAGGTTGGAAAAGACCCTTAAGATCGTCATGTCCAACTGTAAACCTAAGACTACCACATTCACCACTAAACTGTGTTCCTAAGTACCACATCTACATGTCTTTTAAATACCTCCAGGGATGGTGACTCAACCACTGCCCTGGGCAGCCTGTTCCAATGATTGACAACCCTCTTGGTGAAGAAATTTTTCTTAATATCCAGTCTAAACCTCCCCTGGCACAACTTGAGGCCATTTTCTCTTGTTCTATTGCTTGTTACTTTGGAAAGGAGACCAACACCCACCTCACTACAACCTCCTTTGAGGTAGTTATAGAGACCAGTAAGGTCTCCCCTCAGCCTCCTCTTCTCCAGGCTAAACAGCCCCAGTTCCCTCAGCTGTTCCTCCATAAGACTTGTGCTCTAGACCCTTGACCAGCTTCACTGCCCTTCTTTGGATGTGCTCTAGCACCTCAATGTCTGTCTTGTAGTGAGGGGCCCAAAACCAAACACAGCACTCACCAGTACAGAGTATGGGGCATGATCACTTTCCAAGTCCTGCTGGCCACACTATTCCTAATATAAGCCAGGATGCTGTTGGTCATGTTGGCCACCTGGGCACACTGCTGGCTCATATTCAGATTGCTATCATCCAATACCTCTAGGTCCTTTTCTCCTAGGTGACTTGAACCTGTCTGTAAGTTACTGGTGAGAATTGTAACAGGGATCTTCAGCCCATCTCCTGGGACACCTAGAAGAACATAAGTATTGGCTAATGTTCAGGAAAGGAAGGTCTCCTGACTAGTGATGGGTTGTTTGAAGGTAATCTTTCTATTCTACCTACTGTTTCTGTTGGACAGGAGATGATATTTTGAAATCACTTTTTTTAGTCCACTTCCTAGATCCATGTGTTTGTCTTTGAACTTTCTTATTCCTAGTCAAGGGAGAATAAAGTGAGTCCCTCTTTGGCAGCAGTTAAGTCAATAAAATCTGAAATGACATTTCCAATTGCTTTACAAGTTTAGGCATGTTTTTAGATATGCTCCAAATAAGTTAGGGAACTTCAGAGTAGAAATGGTATGTGGGTATCAAAGAAGGAGCAAAGCATGTTAGCATGAAAGGAAAAAAGTTGGAGACTGCAGGTGTAGGACTTGTCAGAAATGAAGTAGAAAATAATGGGGAGAATGGAGAATGATTGACACCCTGTGGGGCAGATGGGCATGTTTCTGTAGCTTGCTCAGGTTGCATTTTTGTCTGTTTTATGCAAAGACACAGATCAGTGGCTAGAATAAATGGGAATGAATATGCTGACTTCAGTGTAGCTGGACTGCTTTGTGCCTGGTGGGCACCTGGCTTGTATGAGACAGTTACCTAATAGAACTAGAAATAGCTGAAAAGCTGCCTGCATCAATTTTTGCCCTTCAGGCTTTTGATAAAAGCAAAGTAGAATTAGAATTAAATAGCTAGATTTTTGTAGTTGTCATATAGATCTGCTGCTGGTGTGATGTGGATGCCTGGAGATGTTTTATTTTGTATTTTTAGGGTAGCTCGGGTCTTTATACTATGATGTTGTGTGGCGTCAAAACTGCTTCTCTCTGAAGAGAGGATGCTGGAATTCTTGGGACCTATTCAGGAGTGCACTGTGTATATTATGAGGGACACGGTGGTCTCATTTGAATAAACTATTCATGGATAAGATCAACCATGGTAACTAGCCAACTTCATTGCAAAATCCAGAATTATGTGCACCTGCATTCTGCAGATTAGGCCACAGATGTCAAAACCATCACTTGTAGTTCACAATCTCCTCATTGCCAGCTACCAACTTGAGGATGAATTTTCTTTAAAACATAGCTTTCTGAGCTGCAGTAAATCTGTCCTAAGTTTGAAGACATTTAAAGTCAAATTATTAAACAGCTCTGCTTTTTAAAAAAGTCATCCTGTTTTACTTTTTCACCTTATGTAAAAGAGAGGAGAAAGTCCTATTTAGTCTGTCTAGACTATAAAACTAGAATACATTGATGCTATTCTGTGTTATAAGCTTGGTGTTTGATACTCCAGAGAACATGTTTAAGAAGAGGGAAGAAAGTACTGAAACTCTCAGGTAAACAATCAAAATGCAGAATAGAGTATATGAATCTACATCATAACATCAGGCTTTAGTAAAATTTGTAATGCATCTTATTTGGGGTGAGCTATTTGGCAGCTACTTTTAACGCTTGGCACTTAGGTAATATTTTACATTTTCTAATTAACAAAGCAAAAATAGCAAGGTGAAGTCATCCCACTGAAATCACATGTTGATGCAAACATTATAAAAATACCAGCCTGTGGAGTGGGGAAGAAAAGGATTGACAGTCCTTCTAAAAACAAACTGGTAAGTGTTGATATTAAAGGCACTGTTTTTACTGGAGCTGAACTATGAAATGACAGACAAAAAACAGTGGTATGCACACACCTCTCTAGCTAGCATGGTATATAGGTGGTTGTTCCAAGTCAAGGCTGTAAAAGGACTGGCATGACCTTTGGAAATCAATGAAAGAGGATGGGAGAAGTATAATCAGGGCTGAGCATTCATGAACAGGAGAAAAATTGTCTGTCTTCTCTGCGCTTCAGCAGCAATTTGTGAAGAGATACCACTTGAGCCAAGGGTTGAATTGCAAAAGAGGTTACCGCAACAATGACAAGCTCTTAAATGCTGTGGTGTGCTACGCAGTGTGGCCTACTGGGTGGTAACAGAGTTCAATCTATAAAAGACCAGTTAAAATTGCCAAGAGGGACATAGTCACCTTAGCAGTAACATGTTTATATTATCTTTTCCTTATAGTAAGGGCTTGATTTTTGTGCACGTTTGCTCATTAGACAAATTGGACAAAGATCTGAGTTAATATCCCTTCTGCCTGGGCTCCTAATGTATTTGTACTACAGAGGATACCACAGAATGCTTGTTCCTACCAGCCATGTGGTGAAGCATCCAGTTTCAGTCATGTAGTTATGAGTGTGCCAACACAAAAGTAGATGCTATGAGGAAATGCTTTAAGCCTCTGTTTTATGTTCAGGAGAAGAACCAGATAAGCCTGTCTGCAGTCCTGTATCCTCAGATGGAGAGACTGGAAAACACACTTTCATTTGTGAATCTGCTTTGATTGTCATGTGAGAAATTCACAACTTTTTTTTCTTGCTGTATGTGTGCAGATCTGCATAATCTATGCTGGGTTTTTTGCTACTTAGCTGTCTCCTGTGAAGCAGAACTTGAAGGTGTTTGTAGTCAGACAGCTAACTATAAAACAGCAGCCACACCCTCTGGTTTGGAAATAATGTCCTATGTCATGCCAAGCAAGATTAAACTCAAGCTTGAACAGGAGATCTGCAGGTGGTAGGTGTTCCAGTTAACAGCATTGCCAGTGCTTCCTTTTCAGCTGAAACACTGAGCATGTGTTGGAAGGGTCAGTGCTCCTGGCAGGACCATCCTCCAGTGGAGGTGTGCAAACAAGGTTTGATTATCTGCTCACTTTGGCAAGCAGGAGCAAAAAAGAAAATTCCAGCTTAGAGGTTATATCATGGCTAATTAGGAAAAAAAATATTACTACTTCTCTAAATTCAGCATAAGCTTTATTCAAGAAAGTCTTTTAATTCTGTAACAGCCTTGTTCTTTATACAAGCTCATAATAGGTCCACCTGAGATCAAAGCTCCATGTGCTAAGGGCATTGCTCAAACACCCCACAAACAAATTACACTCTAAAGATGAGTGACATATGACCTTCTATCCCTTCTGATCCTAGGGAGGTGAGGTGACTGACTCATAATCACTCAGTGGGCCAATGGCACAGTTGATATAGGCACTCTTGCTTTGTAACCCAGCGCTTAAGCTACTGGCATCTGTACTATTGCTATGAATAATGGCTCTTTCTAAAAAGAAGGGTTTGATTTCCATAATTTCGGAAGACCTGTGAAATCCTTCTTGGAGTAACGTGATTAAAATGAAACTGTGTTGGCAAACTGGAAACTTAATCTCTTGAGTCATCGGTTGTGTAAATAAAGTACTCAGCTTGAAAGCTTTGGTCTATGTCTTTATCAAAACTATTTATAGCATTGTCATTGGTTTCTGCATCTAGATATGGTTAGATAGAAATGGCTTCTATTGCCATGCAATGTCAGTTCAGCTGATCTGAGAACCCAGACTGGCTTTCTAATTCAGTGCTGGCACTAGTGATTCTGTTGTTGAAGTTCATGTGATCTGTGATGCAGAATATGGGATCTTCAGGGATCCAGTGGAATTTTTTTGTTGTTGTTGACCAACGTGACTTCTGTGCCTGGTAGAATGGGGATTCAACAGTGATCACGCTCTATGGTGCTGCTGAAAGATTCTGATGATTAGATTTTGCAGTTTCTGCGCTGAAAATCTTTCAGTCAGTGGATTCATGGGGAAAGGAGGAGAAGGTGCTAGTCCCTGTGTCAGAGTCCATGGAAACAGATGTTTGCTGTTTTTCTTTCTAAAATGAACAGCAGTACTATTAGACATCAAGTTTTTAAATGTAAACACTGACTCAATGTGTATCTCTGCAGAGCAGAACTCTTCTCTTTGACCCATCAGTCATCAGTGTTAGGCTTATCTGGGTCTATGCTCTGTAACAGTGAGCTGGACCTGGAATGGTTAAGGTCTTGTTACATGCTGCCATCATCTGAAATAAGTGCAGAGCTGAGATCTTAACCCCTTCAAGCTCTGCTTGCAGAGCAATGTTCTTTCTTGGCAGCAAAGTAACTGATATGAGAAAGTATAATGCAAACCTGGCTGTAAGCACTGGGACTAGAGGTAGAAACTGGGTTTCAGGAAAACACAGGCAATGGCATATCTACCTTATCTGAACCACATAAAGATGGAAGTACAGTTGGGTGGCTGGTTATTTTAGCATCTTACTGGGAGAGTTGCTCAGAGAAGAAGCTTTGGGGCCATCCTTTCTTCCACACTGCTCACTTCTGGGCCTGAATTACTTGACTTATGCTCAGCCATCCAGTTTCCGGCTGTTGTTATTAGTAACTCCCTCTGGGAAGGCCTTTCACTGCATGGACATTGTGCTCTAGCACTTATTGGAAAAAGCTTCGAGAACCCTTGGATGACCATAAAAACTATTGCCTAGGAAATTAGGCAGCTCTTCAGTAACTGGCTTGCACTTGGATTATCTAGGTTCATATTTGCCTTTGGGATCATGAGTCCTAACTCCATAATTGCCTCGCTAATGTGCAGGTAATGGTCCTTGATTCCTTGTATTTGTTTGGGGTTTTTCCCCCCTGTAGCTGCGTGGTGCATCTGGTAGCTTTTGAAGAGGCCAAATGGTGTTTGCGATTTAAGTGGGTTTTTCTTTTATCTTTGTAGATGCTGGCCAAAGCAAGTGTCGATTAGAGAGAGCTCAAGCACTGGAACAGGCAAAGAAGCCCCAGGAAGCAGTCTTCATCCCAGAATGTAATGAGGATGGATCATTCACACAGGTAAAATTTCTATTGGCTTCCTTCAGGGAGGCTCACGGTTGCTGCAGGAGATTCACTGTTAAGGCATGAGCCAAGTGATGATGGCAGCATGGGTGTGCACGCTAACTCTCTCAGGTGGAAGTGTTGAAAGCTGGGGACTTGTTTAACCAACTTGAAGCTTTGATTTGGTTACCATACCTTGAAAGACACATATATAAAGGCATCTACCTCCAACGTAGTACAGAAACAAATGGCATCAACCTCCAGCATAGCACAGAAACAAAACCAAGTGTATTTTCCCCTGAAGATGAACTGCAAAGAGAGCTGTGGCTCATGCAGAACAGGGTGGACCAAGCTGCTTCTGCTGTTACCTGTGCTTCATCTTTCACAGCTAAAAAGAGTGGTCTATTCAGCCTCTGCAGGGTACTTGTTAGTGACAGATGCCTCTTTCCTGTTCTGTGCCTTGTTGTGATTTGGGGTCTGGCAGGGAGGTGATGTGAGACTGCTTTGTTTGGGTTTTTGATTCTTCACTGTTTACTTGCTGGAACTAAATGATGTGCTGGGATTGTAGACTGTTTCATAATGCTGTTTCTCTTCAGAAGCAATAATCTCAGGCAGGGGTAGCACAGGAGGCTTATGGTTTGTTGGCCTTTAACATCTGTGAAAAATGAATAGTCAGTCCTGGTCACTAAGCATCCTATAGAAATAGGTGGACTGGGAGAAGTCCTACAGAATTCCAGAGAAGTTGAAGTAGTTACTGGGGGGGGGGGGGGACGGGGACGGACAGACGGGGACAAACAAACAAAAAAACCCCCCAAAAACCCTTGTGAAGCAGATTTTGAGAGGAAGAGTAGTTTGCCGAGGCAGGGTAGAAATGAAGAGTGATGCTTGGTTCTGTTACCATTAGTATATTGAGCAGTGTCCCAGTACTAACTGAACTGGGTGTTAAAAATGGCTCGTGCAGTTCCCTAACAGATAGGAGGGATATGCTGTCTGCTCAGTTTGGCTTGTGTCTCAAAAGCCAAAATTCTGCAACCCTGATGACCTCTACTTTGTGAACTTCGGTACGTCACACAACTTCTTTTGTCTTAGCTTCCCTATATCTAGCGCTACTCTAGAGATCTTATGCCTCAGAGAAATTTTAGGATTCATTAGTTATTGTTTCGCAAAATCTTTTGAAGGTAAAAAAAAAATTCCAAAATATAATCAATATTGGCTTCAAAAAGATGGGAGACAAAAAGCTTTGGGGTTGCTTCAAACGCTTTGTGATGCCTGGGGGAAGAGGAGAAGAAAGATTTTTTTGTGATAACCTACCAAAAATTTTTATTTCTCCCCTCAGCCTTACCCTCCCATTATCTGGTGTGTGGGAGTGTTTTTGTTTTGTTTTTTTTTAATGGTGAAGTAGAAAAAATTTTCTCCATCCTGCCAACTTTGCATACTTTGGAGCAGCATCATATTTGTGTACAGCATGGACCATCTTATGAAGGTGGGAGTAAGAGAAGGTGGCTGCAGTTTCTTGCAGTCTAACTACACTCTCAATTGTTGAAATTTGATTTTGTGTAGAGCTGCTCGGGTTGTGTTGGCACTGGAGGGGAATACTTAAAACCTAGCACAGTGGGCCAACTAAGTGTTCCATGTTAAACTTTATAGTTCAAGAAAAAAGGAGGAAGGAAAGTTGACTTTCCGATGTCTCTGTCAGCTGTCCATCAACCTCTTGGAGACTAAAGTAGGGGGTGCAGGTGAAATTTTTATCCTAATAAGCTGGACTGAGAGTGCAGTTGATAAACCCCTCTGAAAGAAAACTTTATTTAGAAGGCTGGTACTGGTGTCTGGATTGCTGAGCAGTTGCTGGGCCTCTTTCCTGCACATTCCCTGGCCAGTGTGTGTTGCCAGTGGAGGGGCAGCATGAAACTGCTTACAAAAATTGTGTGTTTTCAGCTGGCAGCCAAGCGATGCTTCACATTCTTCCTCTGTTCAGTCCTATCTGTGAACACTAAAACGTTGTTGTTTTACCTGGCATGATGGAAACTTCTGATCCCTTTGTAGCTGGAATTAACTGAAATTCATATCATTCCTTGGGTTGTAAAAGTACTCCATATTCCACATACCTCAGGAAGCAGCTTCATCATTTATATTGCAGCATTTAAGGTCATTGTCCCTGCATAAGATGTGAATGAAACAATGTCCAAGGAAGCTAACCAGTTTCAACCTGCATTTGAGACAAATATTTCCTTTAACTTCTGGTCCAAATTAATTAAACTTTGATTTTAAAAGGATATATAAAAAACAGAGTTTTGGTGAACAGTCTAAACAGCTTTTGCTTCCAGCAACTCATTAATAGATCTCATCTGGTGGAGGTGGTTTGGATACTGCATCTCTTGCACAGAGAATTGGCACCCCTGGGTTCTGCTCTGAGGGGAAGCTGTATTAGGCCAGTTCTTGAAGTCCCTGAGGCCTTGCTGAAGTCAGGTCTGAACTGTTATTAGTTTATTCTGGTTCAGTACCCAGAGACTTGCTCCATCCAAACTCCAAAATCTCGGTTGGGAAGTCCAAAACAGAACAGCATCTCTCAAAGAAGTTTCTAGGAGAAATACCCGCCATGGTCTTCAACCTTGAAGCCTCATCCCAACAAGAATCTAAGCAGATGCATACGCTTCAGGGTATACCCTGTATGCAGAGTTGGCTAGGGAAACTTTTTCAACAGCTTCCCCCATTCTATGTAACTGTTATTGGAGGAATATTTTGGGCAGAAGAAATTCTGATCAGAGGGGAGACCAAGATGCATGCATATACTTAAAATATAAAATGTCTCAATTGTTATAGCACTCACTCAAGATGTGGATGACTTGCTTTCACGTCTTGAGCTGAGCCTCTTTTTTGTAGATGTTCAAGCCCACATCATCATCCTTGCCATCAGACTTCAAAAGATCTGGGGTTTTGTCTAATTTATTGTGGGAAATTCTTGAAAGTCTTGCAGGCGTGAAAAACACAAACGGTGCAGGTTTGGGAGCTGCATTTGGTAGTGGTAACTATATGGTCCCAGAACCTGTTTGGTCTTAACCAGATTGAACTGTTGCTTTTGTGGTTTATCATTCTCCTCTTGATTAGAAACTAAATTGCAGTCAATATGGGTCAACACTGAAAGCAGCGCTAAGTGAGGCTGGGAGCTCGAGTCTGCCCTTTCCAGCTCCTGGAACTGCATGAAGTACAAAACTGTATGAATTTGAGGCTGGATCCACCGCAAACTGGATGAGGCTGTAGGGTGGTGAAAAGAACATAGCTACTCTGCTGTTCCGTGACCAGCAGCATGTGCTGCATGGGGTAGCAGCTGCAGAGGGGAGACCGCTCTCGTCTTATCTCCTCCTGCTTCCCTGCAGGGCAGCTGGCTCTGAGGCCCAACAGTTAGGTGTGGTAACAAGGGTGAAGGGCCTGAAGGCAAACACCTTGGATTGTATTTAAACCTTGCATGACAGAGACATCCTGTGTGTCTTACACTTGTATAATCTATCTTTTTTCATTGTCTGTAAAATCTAGACCAAAAAGAATCGTTGCCAAAAATTCTATTGCTTGGATGGCCGGTTTGCCTAGACATGGCTAGTTATAATGGGTTTTGCGTACTGCATGAAGAGGAGCAGGCACTTGTCAATTCACTGGTTTTAGCAACTGTTTCTATGCACCGTGTGTGCCGCTTCCTTTATTCTGGGAGTTTATGTATTGCAAACATATTAGAAAATCCTTTTTTAGCACTCCTTACGCATCTAAAAATGTGGCATGGATTTGCAGTATGGAAGAGGTGGTGATATTACAGGCATGATGGGATGTCTGTAAATGGGAGCAGACCTGATGAATTGCTCTGGAATTGCTATTTCTTTATGTTTTAGTTTGTGTGGGGAATATTACTTCCTATAATGAAATCTCACTGCACTTAGCCCACAGCAATGTAAGTACACAGATAAAATTTGAGTTATTCACAACATAATGCTTGTTTGAAATGTGTAACTAGATTAATTGTATAAAACTGAGTTCATGTACTGTTGTGCAAAATTGGACGTGACTAAAACCAGTTTCTGTTCCCAAGACTTGCTTTCTCCTTTTTGCTGTTATGCTGTATTTTGCATAAATGCCATTCCTTTTCCATGCTGCACTTAACCTGCTGTGATCTGTTCTTCATAAACAACAGGCTCTATTGGGTAATCTGCACACTTTCTTTTGCTGCCTAGTGCCATTGGGCATGTTGCCATGGGCTGAGAGACTTGCATTCTTCATAGTTTTCCCCCAAGCGGTTTTTTAGAAAAGGTTGCTGAGGTTTTAAACAGGATCAGTTTCAGACAGATTAATATGAACATGAATAATGTTAACCCTGCTTTGGGGGTGTAGTGTTGTGGGGCTTTTTGTGGTGTGTTTTGCTATTTGCTGCCACCTTCCACTGTCTAGCTGTGGTTTCTTTTCCTTGCAAGTCTGCATACACGTGGCTGAGAGCGAGTCTCCTTGGAGAGTTTGAGTTTAGGGCTCTCAAAACTGCAGCTGCTGGTGCAGTTATTGATGCAGCACTGAGATTTCTCTTAAAGCAAGTGCATCAGTCAAACATGTTGTCTCACACCAGGATCAGTGAGTGGGCTGACTTTGTCAGAGCAGTTTTCAGTTATCAGATAGCTTCCAGAGGACTCCCACATCTGGTAATACAAGTCTGTTTGGAAGGAGTGATCTATATTACGGTCCATAGCAATAGTTTCATTCTGCGCTATGCCGACGTACGTACAAAGTACTGCCTTCTCCTAAGTCCCACAAACAGACCCCTTTCTAAAGCCATGGGGAACCCTCACAGCCTTCAGTGTGACTTCATGATCCAAGTCTGTTCCTCTGTGTTGGCTAGTGTAGCACCGTGCTGGGCAGAAAGACAAACTCATTTCTTAATGCAGCACGGTGCTGCAGGGCACTGTGTAGACATGTCCCGCATTCCCTGGATTCTGTCTATTATTTCATTATTCAGTGCTCATACTCTAGTGATACTAAGCTCTCAA